CTGAGAACTACTATCACCAATCAGATGAGTTTATGAAGTTGGGAGCTTTCTCTGAGGAGGCCCATTCAGACATGCAGTCCTCACATCTGTCGTAGCGCTCACTTGCAAAATAAATTCAAGAAATGTTCTTTTTCTGTCAAGCATGAAAGTCTAATCTGTAGGAGCACTGATAACTTCAGGGCAGAGAAGTTATGGCTCCTGTAATGAGACCAGCTAGATGGCCATGTAGCCATCAATACATAAATTCACCAAATTCTACATGTTGGTCATCTAATCATTAGCAAATGCCATTTTTCAGCAGAAGTCTTTTCCATGCCTCAGTGTCCAGGATATATAATTTACCTCATTTTGGTTGTCCATATTTAAAGGATGATCCAGCTTCCCACCCTGGAGGCACATTGCTGTGAAAATCCCATTGTTAAGGCTCTGTAGATCCTAGCTCCATGTAGAACAGGAAAAAAAATTGTTTTGCCTGAAAATTTCCTTTCCTTGAGTAATAAGGTCCATAGATCTGGCCCATCTTGGAGACAAATGGATCATCCAGAATAGAGAGAGAAATTGATATCCAAATATTCAGGTTTATTTTGTTAGGGAGACGTATCCCTGTGCTCTGCATTAGGAGAAATTGTTGTGATTTCACTTTAAAGTATAGTTAACACAATCTGTAATTTAGGAAAATAGAATGGAATCATACTGGCAGTGGACATTGTCTTGATTGAAGGGAACTTCAGGGGTGGGGCACTCCCTTATTGCTAATGACTGACAGATCTGGTTCTGCCTCCAAGTTGTTAAGTAGGCTGAAATACCCCTTGTAACAGATCTGTAGACCTTATTACTCAAAGAAAGGAAACTTGTAGGTAAGCATGAATAAATTTTCCTATTCTAATGTCTTACCATGTGTGACCAAAGCAAACATTGTCAGCTAAGACCTTGTCTACCCTAGGAGGGTTTTGCTGGTATAGTTGTACTAAAATAGTTATGCTAGCAAAATCCTTTAGGGTGGATGCACTTAACTGGTATAAAACGGCTTATAGTAGGGCTTTTACCAGTGTAGCTATCTTGGTAAAAAATCACACCATTAACTGACAGAGCTATGTTGGTAAATTTCTAAGTGCAGACCACTCCTAAATTTCAGGGAAACGACATTTACATCTGAAGTCTACCCGTGGACATCTTTTTTTTATTAAGTTAAATTCCATGGGGCATTTCCTGTTCCCAGAGGGAGGTCAGTATTCGGGAGTCCCTGTTCCAGAAGGGGCTGGCAGAGTCCACAGCACTGGGAAATCAAGAAAACTAGACCAGTATTCCATATTTAGACACCGGAGTATAAATGGGATTGGATACTTAACCATGATAATTGTAGCTTATAAGCGCAGGGCTTAGCTGATTACCTAATTTGGGAAGACCTTTTCTCATGGTATATTGGCAGGAACTTTCTCTGCGGCACTGAGTTGGGAGAGGGGGTCATCCGTTAGGATCTGCTGGGCATATCGCCCATTGCCTGATTTCCTGTGGTTGCAGAGGTTGGGTTATGGGAGATGGAAACTGGTGCTTTCCATCTTCTGTTCTATGTTTATATTACACACTAACATACTGGAATTAGATCAGTATCAGTGTGAGACATCCTGTTCCAGCACTAGTGCCATAACTACAGCCAGGATTTTAAATGTGCCATCCCTGTGTAAAACTACATACATTTGTCAGGCCTTCAAAACACAATAGTGATGAACACGATATGAGAACTTGGACTTGTAGGTTGATACTCGGTGAGATGCTGAAAGTGTAATTGGCGAGCCTAGCTCTAGGTGCTTTTGAGAGAATGTCGTATGCAAAGGGTACGTCTACACTTACTTCCTGGTTCGGCGGCAGGCAATCGATCTTCTGAGATCGATTTATCGTGTCTTGTCTAGACGCGATAAATCGATCCCGGATCGATCCCGGAAGTGCTCGCCGTCGACGCCGATACTCCAGCTCGGCGAGAGGAGTACGCGGCATCGACGGGGGAGCCTGCCTGCTGCGTCTGGACCCGCGGTAAGTTCGGACTAAGGTACTTCACAAATTCAGCTACGTTAATAACGTAGCTGAATTCGAAGTACCTTAGTCCGAAGTGGGGGGTTAGTGTGGACCAGGCCAAAGTATGAAATTGGAGAGCATACATTTATTTATTGTAGACAAACATTAAACTGAAACTCTGGATCCTCTGCTCTTGTAACTGAAATTGAAAAAAGTTTGTGGTCCTTCATCTCTTGGTTGCTAAGCCTCAAGGTAATAGCATCCTGTTTATAAGGCTGGTACCAAGTCATATCTGGGGAGTGTGCAGATACAAGCGAACATCTAACAGAGATCAGAAGTTAAAGGTACGGCCACAAGGAAAACTGCTGCTCCCCTGCATGGTAGTGCATCTATCGTTTCTCACTGATGAATATTTTGGGATGAGTGACATTTATGGCTGTCGTTGCATTAGGTTCAGAAACTTTGGCAGCTGTATTTCCTGTAGATTACAAGTGACCATTCAATTCTATGTGACCCAGTCATCTGTCTTTATCTGATAGAGACACCTTTATTTCCAGTAAACGGTTAGTGATCATATGGTGCTGTATCATGACTCATACTCAATAATAACGTACACAGGCACCTGTATTCTGAAAAAAGTGCCAATGCTCATACATCTCTGATTCACCCATCCTATTTTATCTTCCATGCTCACTTACAAGTGCACTCACCTGTATTTCTTGCCTGTCTCACTATGGCATTTGATCAGCTAATACGCTACCTGCAGTACCAATTGCTGTCATGCCAGGCATTGGGGCACCGGTAGCAGCTGAGAGAATTGCAGTCAGTGTTTGCTTGGGGAAATTACATGTGCCTGATACTTTATTTGTGTTTTAAACAGTCTGGAGAGAGAGGTGTGGGAAGCCTGGAGAGTAAGTCTGGGTGTGGGTGGGACTAGGCCAGGAGCACAGGGTCATTTGAAATCTGATAACAGCTGCAGTGGTTTTTTCATAAGAATGTAAGAATGGCCATACTAGGTCAGACCAGTGGTCTGTCTAGCTCGGTATCCTGCCTTCTGACAGGGGCTGGTACCAGATGATTCGGAGGGAACGAACAGAACAGGGCAGTGATCGAGTGATCCATCCCCTGTCATCCAGTTCCAGCTTCTGGCAGTCAGAGGTTTAGAGACACTGCCATCATGGGGTTGCCTCCCTGATCATCTTGACTAATAGCCGTCGATGGACCTGTCCTCCAGGAACTTATGTAATTCTTTTTTAAACCCAGCTAGACTTTTGGCCTTCACACCATTCTCTGGCAATGAGTTCCACAGGTTGACTTTGCATTGTGTGAAGCAGTACTTCCTGTGTCTTCTCTTTTCTAAGCTAAAAGTCCCAGTCTTTTTAATATGGAAGCTGTTCTGTACCTTTTCCTGGCTGGTGTTAGCTGTATATGGCTAGAGATCTGTGCTGGTAGCAGAGGGCTTCTAGGGTGGATCTGTCATGAAGATTGCAGCAGCCAAGGTATCTGTGAAAGCTAACGGGGGCAAGTAAAACTAATAATGAAACATTTAAAAACAATTGGTGTGAATTTAGTGCTGGCAAAAGATTCCAGATTGACAGACCAAGAGAAATAAATCTCACTTCAGTCCACACTTAGGCCCTGATCCAGCCAATCATTTAATTAAACATGTACTTAACTTTTTAAGCATATGAGTAGTCTCATTTCCTCTGGGATTTTAGAGATCAAGTTGATAGATGCCTTAATAAATGCCAGTTTATCCTCAGAAAAGATACAGTACGTATGGCAGCAGTGCAAGATCCCTCTGCTACCAGGGTGCATGGTTTGTTTCAGAAGGACCCTCATGAAGTCAGAGGGGAATTCGATCTCCAAGGCCCTTTTGGGTATGTCTATGCTGCAATTAGACACCTGCGGCTGCCCCAGGCCAGCTGATTCGGGCTTGGGCTAAGGCGCTCTGGGATCCTCCCACCTCGCAAGGGCCTCTGTGTCTACTCCACAATTAAACGACTTCTTAGCCTGAGTCAGCTGGCACAGGCCAGCCGCGGGTTTTTAGACACACCCGTTGTTCCTTAGCCATTCTGCTAAGACTCAATCGGACTGCCAATTCGAGTGGCGGGCTTTGTGATGTGACCTGTCCAATGGGAACTGGACTAAGACCCACCAAACTCATTTCATGTAGTCCTCAGAACTGCCATCAGAGGGTAAAAACTTTCAGCCAATAGCAGCCTGGAATGAGTGCGATCTAGGTACCTGCTAGGTGAAAGGTTCTTCGTGCCATCTACAAATTCCTATCCGAAAGCCTCTAAAATGTCCTGTAAGCATGACAGCTGTGTGTTTGAATCAGCATTCTCTACTTATTAAGTGTGAGGCACAATTTAAGGTGTTGGTTTATAAATATAAAGCTCTAAATGGCCTATCACATATTTAATGGAAATACCATCTTTTTATTGAATAATTTATATGTATAAAACAAAATGAATAAAATAAATTTAACTAACCCCACAAAATGTCCTGGGGCTAAGCACTACTGTAATATACATCATAATGTCCTAAGGACACACACTAAACCTATAGGAGAAATAAATCCCACTTAATACATACTAAAAAACAACCCAGAAATCCTTCCCCCAGGCTAAAACTGATAGGTACGTTATTGGGGGAAACAAAGTCTCTGGCCTCTTGTGGAGAAGGCCCCGCCTCCCATGCACGCAAGCTGATCAGCATTTCCAGCGCTACTGCAGGAGCTGGTCCCTAAGAGAGATTGGCCCGGGTTAGGCCCTGACCCATTCTTTTTTGTCAGGATTTGCGGCTATCATAGAGACCAGCCAGTCTTACTTTAGATTTGTGGGGCTGGAACGCTAAAATATCCCAGTGTATTCCTGCCCCAAACACTTTTCTTGCTTTTCCAAATGCGAGATGCGGAGCGAGAGAGTGAGATGGAAAGTCTTGTGGTGGGGGCTACCTAATGCCAGTGTTTTCTCCCCGAACAGAGTTCTGTCGAATTGATGAGCCCTTGTGCCACCTCGAAGATGAGCAGCTCAGCTTTGAAGCTGTCTGCAATATCCACAAGCAGATGGACGATGACGCCAATGGCAACGTGGATGTAGAGGAGAGCGATGAGGTTAGTTCACAGCTAGATTTCTTTCTTTCTCCCTCCTGTCCTTCCTCCCCTTCCTGCCTTCCTCTTTAGGAGGGCAGCTCTACTTTGGATAATACTGCGTGTCAGGGGTGGCCAAAGATCAGCCGATAACATTTTCCAGAGTAGTTGTTGGCTGCCTTCATCTTCAGCCTGCAGAGACTGAAGCTCCCAGAATGCCATAATACGAGACCAGTCCTTGCCCTGAATAGAAGGGACAGGCAAAGACACAGAGATGTGACTTGCCGAAGGTCAAGAGAACCTAAGTATCATGACTCCACAATCCAGTACCTTATCCATTAAGCCACACTACCCCCCAGCGCGATACAAGCGCTATCCACTAAACCAGCGATCTCACTCAAATCACCACGGGGGCCACATGAGAACTAGTACATTGGCCCGAGGGCCACATCACTGACACCTTTTCATACAAAGATACAAAAGCCCGCCCTCTGCCCGTTCCTGTCCCCACTCCACCCCTTCCATAAGGCCCTGCGCCTGCCCCGCCTCTTCCCACCCCTGCCCTGCCCCCATTCCAACCCCCGCCCCAACTCCGCCCCCTCCCTGCCTCATTCAAACCCCTTCCCCAAATCCCTACCCCGGTCCTGCCTCTTCTCCACCTCCTCCCCTGAGCGTGCCGCGTCACCACTCTTCCGCTCTCCCTCCTGGAAAGTCCTAAGCGCTGGGAGGTAGGTGGAGGAGCGGGGACGCGGCGCGCTCGGGAGGTGGGGGGTGAGGGGAGCTTGGCTGCCGGTGGAGTCGGCGCCTATGGCGGGTTACAGGAAATAACTCCACGGGCCGTGTGTTTGAGACCCCTGCACTAGACCCTGGTACCTCCTCGAGGCAATACAGCAGAGTTGAGCTCTGTGTACATGCTGTCCGCCTGGAAGTGCTTCGGAAGGGAGGTGGGGTCGTAAATGGGACAGTTGGATCCTTTTAAAAAAAAATTACAAAAGTGTAATCTGCAATTTCTGCGTTGTGAAGTGAAGCCTTTGTTTTCTCCATTGTGATTGGTTTGGTCGGTTTACTATGATGTTAGCTCTTGTATAGTGCTCTGCCTGCTGAAAGCTCTCTACTAACATTGGACTGACTAATCCTCCCAACAACGAGTCTCTTCCCCCCTGCCCCTCGCCCCCCCCTCCCCAGTGAGGCAGTATGATCCCCGTTTTGCAGATAAGGAAGTGGAGGTGCAGGGAATTTAAATACTTGTCTGAGACCACACAGTAAATCCGTGTGTGTCACAAGCCCATAATAATGAAGCAGCTCTTCCGTTTAAAAATATTTGCTGCAAAGAAAAGGCTCATCAGTCCAAAATGTGAAACCATGTCAACTCAGAGCCAGCGTCTGCCCTCCTAGCTTGCTGGGGCAAGTTGTTTGTTCTGTCACTACAGAGCGCTTCTCTCTTTGTCTCAGTTTCACTGCCCAGACTGATCAAAGAGCTCCCATCTGGATTCCCCTGTCACTGTGAGGAAAACATTTTGTACAGTCCCTTTCCCTGTCTCAGATGACTTTTTAATAAACTCTGGAGTTCTAATCCTGGCTCTGCCACTGACTCATGGTATGTGCTTGGGCCAGTCAATTCACTTGTCTACCTCAGTTTCCCCATGTGTAAAATGGGGACAATACCCATGTTGAAAGAGCTGAGGATTAATGAGTGGGTTTTGTATACCACTTTGAATGTGCTTGATGACATTATATAAACGTTAAGTAAAGTATTATTAATCTACGAATTAGTTTGCATAACTGGAGGGCAGGAACTGATGCAAGAATCTGTCTTGTGTGTTCTTTGTATTGTCACTTTACTTTGGCCTCTATGTGCTACTGAAATACAAATAATAATTAATATTATTACACTCCCCGTAGACTCCGTTCTGGATGGTTTTCTGAGCCTTCCCAACCCCTGGCTTGGCTGTATATTGAAGTTGCCACCATTACTACTGTCTAGTTTAAAACACTTTAAATATCCAACCTTTTCAGTCTGTTCAGACAACTAAATATGTCATCCAAGCCCTCTTCATCTCTTGTCCTGATTATGAATCACCGCTTCCAGTCCATTTAAAATGCAGCTGCTAAGATCGTATTCCTTACCCATGGACCTGACCACATCCCCCTCCACTGGCGTCTCTTCTCCATGATGTCAAATATTTCTTGTCCTCACCTTCAAGGCTCTCCCTAAATCTGGCCTCCGGGCTTCACGGACCCTGGTGTCATGTTGCAGGCCGCTCTTTCCACTCCTTCAGCGACACCAATCTTGTTGCCTCGTTTGTCTGTTTCTTGCACAGCTGTCCTTGTGGTTTTTTCCATGCTACACTTACACCGTGAATGGCCTCCTAGAGCTAATCTGCAAGGCCATCTCCCACTCCAAGTTCCTCTTTAAGACCCACTTCTGCTATGATACTACAAGAAATTAGCCAATTAATATAGTTACTTAAAGTAGATATGATAGAAAACACACATACTCAAACAACTTTAGGCAGATAAGTCTTCCTTATTGCGTTATGCCACAGACTAGCCCTCATTCGTAAATGTACACTCTTTTTGAAGTTCCCTGCCGTCTTCTCCCCATACCTTTCCTGTGATAACTGTTTAGTTATCCTTCCATTCCGTCACATCTCATATTTAGTTTGTAAGCTGCTTCGGGCAGGACTCATGTCTGCCGTGGTATTCTCTGCGCTGTTTTTCCCTGGGAATTTTGTAGTGCTGTCACAGCCTTCTTGAAACAGGCCATTAGAAAATAAATATATAGAACAAAATGACACTCCCCAATGGACAGAGGAGAATATTTCCTTATTGTTATGGATAAACATTGATTTTTCACTTGGAAATGATAAAAGCTTTGTATTTCAGCCAACTGAAATGGCTAATTTTCAATGGGTTGCCCACCTACAACTTGGCTGTGAATTAAAACTCAGCGGAAAGATGAGAAATTACAGCATCCTCTAGTCCACTAGACTGTCTTCCTCAAATTCTCCATCTGTTCTGCTCAACTGTAGGGCAGTCACAGCCTGAGCAGCTCTGCCATAAAGAATTTGGCTTTGTCATCATGTTTTCTGTGGCTTGATGAAAGAGGAGAACACCAGACGCCATCAGAGGCATCGACTTAGTTCTCAGTTTGAGGCCCAATTGCACATTCCTGCCTGCTGTGACAACTGCTGGAAATAAGCCTAAATCCTCCCCTCACACTCTTGTGCCAAGGGCTGCTAATGGTGCAGGGTTAGTTTGATTGCAGGGTTAGTCTATCTCCATCGGTTCTCTCTCTCTGCCTATTGCCTGGGGAACAGGATTTGCAGACCATTGACCTTTCATATGTCAAGAAGATGACTGCTTAACAGCTGTAAGAGAGGGAAGTGATGCAGAGCCATGTCGCTCTAGTTTTTAAAGGTCCCTTGTGCGTCACTGAAGCTGTGAGAAGGGTTTTACCCCATGCTTTCCTCTGCCAGATACATGCAGCTCTGACATGGTGGGTTATAGGGTAAACTCTGAGGTTTGCTACTTGGATGACTTCTCTGAGAAATCCACAACGGATTAGTAAAGCTTTCTCAAAGCCTGGAAGTTAATTGTAACATGCAAAGGCAGATTTTCAGTAGGAATGTAGCTGTGTGCTTCTTGCAAATAAATCTGGGACTCTCAGATATATATATATTAAGTGTAGCTCTGCAACATGCCCAGTTGGGGCGCAAACACAGGCTTTGTCGGGATGGGGTTATCAGAGACAAGCCCCCTTCACTGGGAATGACCTACACCAGACTTGCAAATCTCACCTCAGGTATCCCAGCTGATCTCATCTGGTGAAGTAAAGCACAGAGAGAGAACAGCATCTCTCCTACCCAGGACCCAACCATAGCAAGCATAGTAACCGTAGCATAAATTGCACCTGGAAACAAACTGGAAGCCAATGCAGTCAGTGGAGCACATGGCAAAATGTGCCACTCCATGTGTGAGTCACCAGTAAATCATCAGATAGCTGCATTCTGCACCAGCTGAAGTCTCAAAAGGGTCGTCGCCCGTGTAGAGCACACAGAATGAATCTAATCTGAAACTGACAAAGGCATGACTAGATAGTGAATTCCACATCTGAGAGGGAAAAGGGCACCCTCTAAGTCAAGCGTAGATGGAGAATGTGCTCTGCCACCACTGCTTCGTGACCCTCCGGCAGCAGCAGAGACGCCACTAACCTGAGAACCGACATAAGAAGGCAGCTGTATGCCATCAATTGAAAGGGCAGACATTACCTGAAAATGACCCCATAGTACCAAGCTAGTGAGTAAGGGGGGAGCAAAGTTGCTTTGTGGTTTACTTTGTCTCACTTCTGTGTCAGAAGGCAAAGTGTTCAAGTCCCACAGTGAGTTTTGAACTCCTCCAGTGCAAACCGTCTATTATGATTATTTAACTCCTTTTAATCTTTCCTTTCAAGTTGACCCCTTTACAATTTTGGTTGTTCTCTGACTTCCCTTCAGTTGACATACTCCTTTCCAGAACTGATGATTTAACACCAGTGACCATCTTCTGATTCAAATTTGAAAAAACAGCAAAGCTAAATATTTTATTCAAGGTTTTGAATTTGTATCCGTTCTCAGAATCCAAGTGATTTCCTTGTTGAATTTACTTTCAGAATAGCTTGCATCATTTGCATTTTATGCGCAAATATTGTTCTATGCAAATATTTCTATGTAAATATGTCTCTGTAGATATGTATTGATCTTTTGCAACTGCAGGACACACATCGTCATCTCTGTTTGCTTATTGGCAGAGTTAAGTATTGCAAAGTGCTGTGATTCCAGGCTTCACAGTGCAATGCAACACCTCACTAGTAGATGTAATTCATTGCCATTGGAGAAGCTTATATGGGAATCTGTGTCCGGAGCTTGCCTCTGTGTAAAAAAACTTGTAAATGGTATGGTCAGTGCCATCCTGCCTGGACACATCTGCACCTGAAGCTAGACTTGCCTGTTGAGTCATTGTTCTCCATCTTTCAAGGCTATACG